ACCCTTAACATTATTTTTTTAAATTTTTTTTTTTTAATAATTTCCTTAAATTCTATGTAAATTAAGAACCTAATGAAAGTAGAAATAATGCTGAGATATGCTATAAGGATAGTCTACCTAGTAATTTTAAAAATAAAATAGGGTGATAAGAAATTAGCTATGATTGGTAGGGAACATAAAAATAAATCTATATTAGAGAAATCTATAAGATTTAGAATTAGTTTGTTTAAATTTTGAATTTGATTTGAATATTTTGATTAAGGTTTGAATTTTATTTTATTTTATTTTAATATTTATTTATGTTTGATTCATTTGGATTTATATTTAACTTTTATTTGATTGGAATGTTAATGATTTGAAATTTATTAGGTCTATGTTTAGTTTGATTTAAATATGAGTTTAGGATGATTTTGAATTAATTGATTTAGTTAAAATTATGATCAAATAAAAGATTAATTATTATTTAGTTTTTGAGACATCTCAATAAAATTTTGTATGGTATTTATTATATTAGAGACCATGCATTTATTTTTAGTTTTTTGATGAACTAAAATAATTTAAATGCATATAAATATAAACAGGGTAATTGTCCCCTTTTTAAGGGTTGGTTTTTATTTATCCTAGCATCCCATTTGGAGTACTAGGGATGTAAACCTTGCACCAAAATAAACAAAAATAGAAAATGCAATGAAAAGAATGAATGCCAGAATTTAATGTGAAAAATTTTAAAATTGAGAAAAATCATAAAGTGACACCACACCATGAAATTCACTATGAAAGTTTGAAGAAATTTGTACAGACTGACAACACTAGCAAAGGTAAGGATCTCTTATTTATTCTTCAAGTTTCTCCCTACTTCCTTGAAGGCTCTTAAGAGAAGATTTTCAAATAAGATCATGGTACTCTACCGTCACTAGGAGGGTGAGAAAATATGCTAGTTCTTAGACGTCACCAAGATGGTGAAAAATGATGCTGGTTCTTTGCCATCACCAGGAGGGTGAAAAAGGACGCTAGTTCTCTGCAGTCACCAGGAGGGTGAGAAAGGATGATGGTACTTTGCCATCACCAGGAGGGTAAGAAAGGACGTCGGTACACTGCCTCCTAATGTTGGTGGAAGAGAGGTTTTATAAGGGCTTCTTCGCTTTGCTGTGAGAGCAAAATGAGAGTCACTCTTGATTTAGTGCAATACTTGAAGGAGTCGTCAGGGAGTGGACGTAGGTCTAGTTGGACCGAACTACTATAAAATTTGGTACTTCTGTTCTTTACTTTTTACTGCATTTTTTATTTTTTACACTTTAGTTTGTTGTGATCAAAAAATATTTTTTTTGTAAAAATTTTATCGTTGTGTTACAAATTTTAAATCGGTTTTCTAAAATCCAAAAGGATTTTTAAATTACAAATTCACCTCTCTCTTGGTTAGCCTTGAGACAGTTGTATTAGGTCTAATAACCTATTTGAACTTTCAAATATAACCTAATTGATCAATACAATCATATCCCACATAGAACTAACAATCTTCAGTTGAAAAATTATTTGTAATCAATCCTTCTTCTAATATGTAACACCAATCATTGTACTAGTAGTCTAGCTCACCCTTGCTCTCATCCTTCATAAAGACCAATTAAAGCTACACATAGCTTCAGTTTATCAATTGTCATTGTCATTGTCTTCCTCAGCATGTCTATATGATTTTGGGTCATATGTATATTCTCAAAAGATAATTGACCATCTTTTAGAAGTGATCTAAGAAAATTACACTGAGGCTAGATGTGTTTCATCCTGGCATAAAATGTAGCAATCTTAGCTAGATGAATAATGTTCATATTGTTACTATACAACTTCTCATTTCTTTGTATATTGCCAAATTTTCCCAAAAAACTTTGTGACCATATCATATCCTTGCTAGCCTCAGTGATAGCAATATACTTAGCTTCTGTTGTTGACAACACGACAATCTTATATAAAATAAAAATCCAACTCTCTAGTCTTTCCCAAACTAAAGATATAATCGTGCTTCTCGTGCTTCTCCTACCATCAAGATCTCTAGCCAGATCAAAATCTACATACCCCTATAGATATATCCCTACATCTCCAAAACAAAGATTTTTATCAACTGATCCTCTTGCAAACCTCAGAATCCACTTAAGTAGCTCCCAATGAAGTTTGCTTCGATTACTTATAAATTAAATGACTACTCCCACTACATATACTATATATGGTCTCATATAGATCATGATATACATCAAAATTCTAATTGCTAAAGCATACAAAATCCTCTATATATGTTCTTGATTTGCTTCATATTTAGGTAATTATTGCTTAGTTAGCTGAAAATTATTATCTTAGGGAGTGCAAACTAGTTTTACCTTACTCATGTTGAATCTATGCAGCCAACGGCGGAGCCAAGACGTGCCCCCTCCGAATAAAATAAAAAAACCTGTATAATATGCACTTGCTTTGTTTTTTTGGGCGGTTCAACGTTTGGTAGCCCTAATATTTCGGTTGATTGGTTCAGAAGGTCTCACGTGAAGCACGTCTTGTCGCGGCGTCGCCTCTACAGCTCTATCTCCGCCTCATAAGGTCTCTCCTGCGGCGTGCGCTTGTGGCGGCAACCGGTGGCCCAGGCCTCCATTTGCATTTGCGGATTCACATTTTGCTCCCTTCATCCGGCTTCCGGCAGAGAGCAGCACCCAAAGTCTTATTTTATTATATATTGGAGACAAAAAACTGACTTCCTTCCTGATGAAAAATGAAGTTTGTATTAATTTTTTACTCTTGTTTTGTTTATCCTATTATGAAATTGAATTTTAATTGATATGCTCTTATGGTGTTTGATAAAATGCTTCTTTGTCTAAATATTGACTAGATTCTTATTTTCATGTCTAGATAATCAAATTTGACATAAATTTTATGGAAATGTATTTTAAGAAGTTTTCAAAATCAAACTTATCGATGACTTTAGATGAGACAAAAAAGAATGACGAAGAGTAAAATAAGAAAAGAAGCTGAGTAGTAACAAAAAAATTTTAGGCCCCCCTATAAAAAGTTTCCGGCTCCGCCACTGTATGCAGCACATTTTCATCATTCCCCAACTTGAAATAACTTCATTATACCCACACATCTAAAATTAAGTCCTTGCTAAGCTGTTCTTTTACGGCCTAATTTTAGAAAGGCTCATTGTTGAAGATTAATGTAGAAGAAGGAATGTGATTAGGAGAAAATTTAAAAAGGATCGTAAAGGCAAATTTTTTTTGCATTTTCAGTTAAAAAATGAATTAATTTCAAAGAAAATGTTAAAAAAATGTTTTCTTAGAAAATGCAATTTTTTTTTATTTTTCATTTAAAGAGCTTTTTTTCTTTATTTTTGGAGAGAAAAAGAGAGATCGAAAAAGAGAGATTTTTCTTTATGTTTTCTTTGAAACGATTTTTTTTTCCAAAAAGGTTAGGTTTTTTAATTAATAATAAGTACAAGTTAGCTTTTTTAATTTTTTCTATTTATTTTTTCTGCAGGTTAGGTTTTTTAGATTGAAATTAGGCTTTTAAATATTTTTGCTGCAAGATAGCACTTTTAAATTAAAAAAAAAACACACATTAAGAGCACAAAATAATAACTAATTTAAATTTTAAATATTTTTGCTTGTTAATTAACATGAATTTATAAAAATAAATAAATATAATTTTATTATTAATAAAATGAATGTTATAAATATTATTAATTTCTTTAATTTTTTTAATTTAAAATTTCAAAAATTAAAAATAGTATTTGCATGATCAATTAAAAATAAATTAAAAATTCCATTTTGTGATAATTTAACTCTTATTTCTTCATAAAATGCTAACCTATAGCAAATTTCTTTCTTGCCGTCTCTCCATCTCTCTCTCAAAATTTAAACACAAGTATAAAAGCAAAAAAAATTGCTTTAAAAAAAAAAAACAATTTTCATAATAAAACCAAAAACTCTAAATTAATTTTTTAATAGAAAATGCAAAATCTGTCTGACTTTATGAATTTTTTTTTTAAATTTCTCTCTAATCACATCCTCTAAAGTAATATTCAACCGTGATCGTTTTCAAAATTCGGCCTCCTTATAATCCGCTCCAACCCGCAAGTTGTAGGGGCTGTTTGGTATCGGATTTATCGTCAGATTTAAGTTGGATTTACGCTAAATCCAGCCAAACAATTTTAGAGCGTGGGTTAAAATCAGGGATCCAATAAATCCCGGATATACGGATTTACAGCTTAAATCTCGGATTTACTAAATCCCTCGATTCAATTGATTTAATGGGATTTAAATAGTGGCGGAAGACTTATTCGCGCCGCCCGTGTCGCTGAAGCTCAATAGTCATCGAAGAATCGCGCGAAAGGGAGAACCTTCACAGCCAGCAAGCTCACGTTGTTGCTTCCGATCAAAATGTCGCAATGAGCGAAGTCGAACAGCCACGAAGGAGCCGAAGTAGCGACGCGAGCAATCTCCACACCTCCTGCAAAGCAACGAAGCCCAACAACAACGACGAAAAGAAAAGATGAAAGGCAAACCCTAGACGCCTCAAAGTTATTATTGATTAACTTAATTAATATAATTTAAGCAATTAATAATTAAGTTAATTAATTACATAATTAATAGTATAATTAGTGCATAAATTAATTATCTAATTTAACTTAATTAACTAATTAATGATATAATTAGTAATAAAATATTAATATAATTAGCTTATTTAATATTTCACCTGTCATTTTGGTCAATGTTAGTTTGTAATTTGCTTTTTATTGAATTTTCAGTCATTTTATATGAACTAAAGTTGGTTTTATTATATTTTTATGCAATAATTTTGATTTTATAAATATTTCTTTTAAATTTAAATTTCTAACCGTCATAAATCATGATATATATTATTAAATAATTTCTCAAAATTTAACATTTTACATACCAAACAGTTTCAAGATTTAACATATTTTGAATTTACCAAATCTATTTAAAAGATTTATTGAATGCCAAGAGTTGCCAAACAGCCCAGCAGCTGCTTCACTCACGGATTAGAAGAAAGGGGTACGTTGACCTGGAGGAGGCAGCGATCAATGGTGACAAGTGATATGCTTACAGTTTTGATGCCGGATAAAGCGCTGTGGGCGGCGGAGGCGGCGGCGGGAGCAGGTTTGCTGCTATGGGCGCTTTGGTTAGCCGCTTGGCTATGGTGGCGGCCCCGCCGGCTTGAGCGCGCTCTCCGGGCTCAGGGTCTCCTCGGAACTCGATACCGCTTTCCCTCCGGCGACCTTAAGGAGAACGCACGCCTCGTCCGAGAGGCCCTGGTTAAGCCCCTCGCCTTTTCTCAATGCGTCATCCCCCGAGTCTCTCCCTTGCTTCACCGAGCGATCGGTCAATATGGTAATTAATGGCATAAATATCAGATACGTCCGCAGCACTCTCTGTTCATCCAAGTATCACTTTTTTTTTATGTGATGATTCAAGGGTTAATTATTAGTTCCGGTCACTGGACCTAAATTTGTGTCTGGATTTGTGCACATTTCATGCGCTTTTCATGTATTTTTATTTTTACTAAGTATTTGAAAAACTCATGAAAAGCGCAAAAAAGGCACCAAATACTTAATGAGTAAGATATTTGATGCACTTTTACTATGTTTTTGCTTAATTTTGTAAATACTCAACAAAAAAGTAGCTAATATGCAATTAAAATTAAGAATTAGCTACCTTTTTGCAAAAATACAATAAAAGCGCATGAAAAACGCACAAATCCGGACATAAATTTAGGTATGGTGACCAGACTTAATAATTAGCTCTTTTCAAGGGATATTTATCACTGTTTTGATATATAGTTAAAAAAGACATTATTCTATGACCTCTTTCAAACATTTCATGACACAATGAGGAAAAAAAAAACATATATTTAATGAAACAGAATTAAGCTTGTGCCAAATAATGTTCAGGGGCTGTTTGGATACTGGATTTATGCAGGATTTGATCAGGATTTACCAAACATGATTTAGGGAACTGTTAAATTTCACCGCTAGTTAAATCCTCCGTTTGTTCTTCGGACAATATCTTTCTCTGCTTGTTGATAGTTTTTCTAGCTAATTTGCTAAAGATAAGTCCTCTGAAGATTTTCTTTAACTTGAACTAATTACAGAATATCATATTGATCTGCAAAATAGGTAAGTTGTGTATTACATGGGCTGGTCCTGTGCCCAGAGTAACCATCATGGATCCTAATTTGGTCCGAGAAATTCTGAGTACCAAATTTGGTCACTTTATGAAACCAAAGATTAACCCTCTATGGAAGGTGTTGGCAACTGGACTTGCAAATTATGATGGTGAAAAATGGGTCCGACACAGGAGGATTATTAATCCTGCATTCCATGTAGAGAAGTTGAAGGTAAATTTCCAATGTTTCAATAATTTTAAACTATGTTGCTTCCCTTTTTTTTTTGAGCCATAGACGTCTATGGAAATACTTTTTATATTCTTTAAATCAGTTTTGATCTGTTAAATAAAATTTTATTATTTCCAGCATATGCAGCCTGCATTTTTCACTTGTTGTAGTGAATTAATTGGACGATGGGAGAAATTGGTTGAGCCTAGTGGAACATGTGAACTGGATGTCTGGCCTGAGTTTCAAAATTTAACAGGTGATGTCATCTCAAGGACAGCCTTTGGTAGCTGCTACGAAGAAGGAAGAAGAATATTTCAACTCCAGGCAGAGCAAGCCGAACTTCTAATTAAGGCTTCTCAATCTGTGTATATCCCTGGTTACAGGTATGTGGTTATTGTATTAAAAGATGTTAAGATTTATTTATTTTTGTTCCTTTTTAAAAGTTATTAGCTTAAGCAAGTGATGATTTTATTTTTTTACACCGTATGAATGATATGTTTCTCTCTTGATAATAATCATCTATAGCAAATTTTTACAGATATTAATGTTGAAAATTTTAAATTACTACAGTTTTCACCTTTTGAGAGTTGGTGGTGTTCAGGATTTTTTTCTCCTTGCAGTTTGAGTTTTAAATACAGTTTCTAACAGACTTGTTCAAATCTTATCTTGATTCTAACAAATTCAGTTCTAAGAATTTTTTGGCACCAAAAATCGGTTTATCTGAATAATCCCTGATCATGTGCTGAACAAAATGGCTCCTAAATCTTTAAATGCTGCTTTCTGTGGCAAAGCATTTCATCACAGCAGCAAACTTCATGCTCTCATTTTTATTGGACTTATTGTTGTTTGAAGGTCTTTAGCTTCTGATTTAAAGCTTGTAATATACATCGAGTTCTTGAGGTGCCAGGAGCCACTTATAGTAGCAGCCCTCTATTCCAGAGAAATTATTATGTGCGGATGTCAAATGCTGTCCGAAGACCAACTAGAATGAGCCACGTCGGTACCGCTGCTCGGTATCGCTTAGTACTGCTCTCGGTATTGCTGACGTGGCTCATTCTAGTTGGTCTCCGGATGTAGAGCTGCGTTCGACGTCCGCATAGAATATTTTCTCCATTTCAACGTTCTATTTCTTTCTCTTGAGGTTGATGACAATGAGAATTGTTTCGAAGAAAGTGAAGCTTGTGTGTTTAAACGTCAGATATTTGACAATAAGAGTAGTTATCGATGAGGAGACTGTTGAGCATTATTCAAAGTTGGTGGTCATCACTATATTGGAGCATGTTTGTCAAACTAATGCATGTAGGTTGACTTGCGGCTTACAAAAGAGTTAGGAGAAGAGTTTTTGTTCGCTATAACATGTGGTCAAAGGCTTATGGAGAGGAAAGGGTAAGGTATATATATATATATATATATTTATAGCTTGTGCTATAAAAATAATAATGGAAGAAAATAATGTGGAGAGTTAATATTGCAAGTAATATTTTTGGAGTAAACTTCGAAATGGTCCCCCAACTATTTATATATCACCTATTTAGTTCCAGAGTATCATGTTGATCTAATTTATTCCCTCTAATTGATAAAAAATGATCTCTTTGGGACAAAATTGAGATTAATGTTTTATTATTGGTGGACTAAATTGGTATAAATTTTATATTTTTATATCACAATTACAATATAAGGGAAGATTTTAGATTAGTTTTGTATAGTTAAAGGAATTAAAATTGGAGCAAACATGATACTATGGGAATAAATTTATCAGACATGAATAGTCATGGAACTATTTTGATAATATATATATATATATATATATATATATATATATATATATATATATATATATATATTTTTGTATTATGGACTTGACTTTGAGCTGGTTGAAACTATTTTCACTCTATTTGGTCATGAATGTAGGCTTGTTTATGTCAAACCATATAAATTCTGTGTTTTTATGGATAACTAGATGGACAAGAGGGGGGGTAGGGTAATTGTGAAAACTTTTCTAGCAACAATTAAAACCTAAGCAGGAGTTCTAATATTTTTGATATTTTTAAATTTTTAACACGAAAATTTAAACTACTACGAAGTCAAGTGATTGATCTCAACGTGCAACAATACAATACTATTCTTCCACAAATATTACCAAGCAAATAATATGAGAATCAAGTGCAAGAAAAAGTAAATCGCTATAAGGAAAAAACACACCGGAATTTTATAGTGGTTCGGTCAAACCATGACCTACGTCCACTCCCCGGAGTCCTCCGCTCCGGGAATTTCACTACAAAACTATAGCTCTCCTTTTGTCCCCCTCGGCAAGGCGGAGATGCCCTTACAATACTCCCTTTCACAAACCCGATCTGGCGGAGAGCCAAGCACTGTTTTCACCCTCCTGGTGACGGCAGAGAACCTTCTCTTTTTTCTCCCTCTTGGAGAAGGCAGAGTACCTTCAAGGTCACGGATGTAGAAGAGTCTCCCCCTTAGAGAGCCTCCCACAAGTTCTTCCCGAGCCACAGGATGAGCAAGATGCAGCAAGATCGGAGAAACCGTGTGATCTCCCTCACACCTCTTCTCCCTCACCAAGCTCACCTTCTCCTTCCTCTCTCAACCGCACAAAACTTCTCAAGAGCTCTCCCAAGGATTTCCTCTCTAATCACGTTCTCCTCTTCTGTCTCTTTCTCAAAATATGACAATTTTGACCATTAAAACGGGCTCCAAAATCCCTAAATTTGCAAAGTAGCCGTTACAATCGTACAGTACGATTCTTCATCGTACAATACGATATGTATAAACAGGCTTCGTCCTGGTACGAACGTGTACGAACAGTTCAAAATAACTCGTACAGTACGATAATAAATCGTATGGTACGATCCTCAACATAACTGATTGTATAGGACGATAGTCGGGACGATCAAATGTCGTCTCTGTTCATCGTATTTTATGATATACATCATCCAGTACGAATGGTCAAAATCAAGGCATCATCCAGGACGAATTCCGGGACGATCAAATGTCGTTTCTATTCATCGTCTAGTACGATATACATCGTACTGTACGATGAGGCAAAAAATAAAGGATCGTCCATGACGATCTCCGGGATGATAAGAATTCGTCTCTGTTTATCGTATTGTACGAACTATTTCGTACAGTACGATATTCAATTTGAAATTAAGCCTTGAATTAATCCACGAATTTCGGGTTAATTTAAGTAAGTATTTAAAATAAATCGTACAGTACGAATAACTTCATACAGTACGAACGGCTGAGAAAACTTAAATTAATTTGACAGCTAGGGTTTTGGATTTGGAACACATCGTACAGTACGATATAAATCGTACGGTACGAACTATTCACAGAAAATCGTTTTACCAACTCAGGTCGTACAGTACGACATAAATTCGTACAGTACGATCACTAGAGAAGAAAAATCTTCATTTTTACTTTTAAAATCCTCTCCCCCTGTGTGTGTGCATGGTTGCTCAGACTTACATGCAGTTTGTTTCCAGACTCAAGAAAATAAAAAATAAAATAAATAACAAAATATATTGTCAGACTCATACTCCTAATCTAACCATTCTTGAGTCTTCCTGTCATCTTGAGTAGCTTGTGATCTTCCTGAAATGTTAGTACTCACGGATAATAACCAATAATAAATGATATTCAATGAATAGTAAATCAGACGACATTATTTGTCATCATTAAAATCTCAAATTCGAGGTCATGGGTCGCAACATTTTATTGTGTTGTTGGATTTGTTCATGTTATTGTGTTTCATTTTATTCGCTCATAGAGTTTTTCACATAATGATATGATTCATATGCTAACTCTAAAGTCTAATTGAAATAAATATAAAAAGTCGAGCAAACAAAGCTGCCGAATTGAAGTAAACTAATTGATTATGCACTTGACTTCTCATTCCTCAAGCACCTCATCCTTAAGTTTTTTCCCCAATTGAGAAATCCTGATTAGATGTAAGTGCATGTATAATTGCTACAACTTTATTTAAAAAAAGAACCCCAATTCATGTAAGTCATCACTCTCATCATCTAATATGCTTACAACAGGCTTTCCTTTAATTATTTTCCTATAAATTTTAAAATAAATAAATTGATATGGGATAAAAAAAGGTTCTTTAAATATGCTTTACAAATTAAAGAAGGAATGAGTTTAAAACAAATAACTGAATTACGAGACATTGAGTTAACTTACTTTTTCTTCCTTTGAGAATTTATTATTAAAATTTGTCCTCTAGTCTTTCGTTGATAGAAAGATTAAGGTTTCGTTTGATATGCTTTTTTACTACTTAAAATAGTTTTTTAGTACAAATTTTTTTATTCTTGTACTAAGAAGCTGCTTTAAGAAGCAGTAAAAAAGTCATCCCAAACGAAACCTAAACCTCATCTATGCACACTCCTAATTACATTATAAATAAAGAATTTTCTCTTCCTCCAACTAATATTGCTCTTCTTGATGGACTCAATCTTCTTCCCCAATAACAATGGGTATACTGCTATTATTTTAATTCTTATTTTACTTGGGTAGATAAAAAAGTTATTTGTAGTAGGTTAAAATATGGTAATTTGATAATTTAGTTTAATTTTATGTGAAGTTAGATCATGTGGCTATCACCCCACTAATGGGGCATGAATGATGGGCCTTGGACCCCCCACACCCCCCTGCGGTGGATTGATGCCTTATCTTGTATAGCGGATGGCTTGTAAGATAAATTGTAATTTCTTCATGTCAATTTTACTCATCCTCCCACCGAGGTGGGCCACAAGCAAGCCCCAAAATCATTATTTAAAACACTCATGAGTAAATAAAACATGAGGTTTTAATTATTTATGGAGCTCGAATCCCTAAACAATAGGTTGCTCTACTAGCTAATTCTCTATCTTTATTACTATTTTTATTTGTGAAACAACTTTTCATAATGAGTTAGAGTGTCTACATGAGAATTCAAAATAGAATTAATAAGATTCGTACTCTACATAGCAATTTGTTATTATTTTATTGTGATTTTTCATAATTTTTTTTTTAATAATGTGGGCTCCGAAAATTCTGCCCCAGCCTCCCCGCTGCTCTTTTTTCGGGGGAGTATTAACGGATTTAAGTTCCGGGATAAATTTTGGGAAAGCATATGGGTTTCCAGATAATACACTACCCAGAGATTTCGCCCTCATTTTACGAGGACTTTATGATTTGAGTTCTGGTTTCCTATAGGCGCAAGCCCTTAAAGTTAATTACATCTCCCAATCATGAGAGAGAACTTTCGATTAAGGCTAGTCGTCAATCAGATACGTAGAGATACACATTATCCGACATATAGTAGCATCATGAGCTTGGATCTGGAAATTGGAGGGTTTTGGAGATATGATATTCAAAATTA